GTGCTAGCAGTTTAAAGAAAATAACTCACCTTCATATCTGTGAATGTATAAAGAGGCGAACATCTTAAAACCTTTCTTTGCCTTACTTGTTTGGGCTTCGGATCGACGTACATTATTAATTGTTACCTTGGAAAAACATTTGAGCCATAACGCGGAAGCTGAGGTGCAAAGAGCCCATTAAACTTCTCCAACTCCGGTCCAACAGAGCCTTCTTGCTCCAAAGCGTGGTTCGGATTTGCAACTCCAAAATCCAAGCAAAATGTTTGAGCGTAGTCCAGTTCTGTGGCTCCAAAAAGTAGGCAAAATGTTCAGGAAAACTTTGCAGCTCCAGCTGTCGCCGGCTGACTGTTATTACGTAGCGTCGATCTGTTTTCTCATTGATGGAGTACCACTGCCTCCTGCTGTCGCAATACTGGTATTGCACTAGCAGTACCAGTATTTCTCCACAAGGTGCCAGTGGTACTCCATCAACACTGACCCCAGTGTGTTCTTACTTCGCTGTGTCATAAGTTTTGCTGAATGACTTTGTTTCAGCAAAAATGAATGAATGTTTGTACTTTAACCCACAAAATAAACTTATATATATATAAAAAGTTATAATAATGTATATTTAAATAATTAATAACAACATAACCTATGGGCTGCTGTTTTCTAGGGGGCGCTATAGAGAAATTAGGCCACGCCCTACAAATATTGTGATGGATTCCAGTCGGGGAGTGGATAAATATTCATCCTTGTGAGTTTGCAGCAGCTGAGCCCGAAAAATGTGGTATTGAGAGCCAAACGTATGGCGATGGCGTTACAGGTAACTTCGCCACGCCGCCATGCCCACCTGCTCTACGTAGCTGGTCGGGGTTGGAATCCTCAATACACCAACATGTCTTCGGTGTCTGGGCACAGTTTCATGTTGATGAGGTCAAAAGGGTCGGATAGCGAACGTTCACAGTAAAACATTACACTTCCTGTTCTCAGGGGGCGTGGCCTAAGTGATGTCATCATTCGACCATAGGGTAATGTAGGAGACCCGATGATGATCAATCACAGAAACTTTGGTGCCTCTGTGAGTTTCTGTGTAGGAGATATAGCAGTTTATGTTTTTATGGCGAGTAGGTGAACTTTGACCCCTGCTAACCCCCCTTCAGCATACTCAAAAACTCACCGTTTAGATAACTTTAGATGAGACATGCCTTATGAACAGACTGACCGAGTTTGAAGCCGATCAATCGAAATCCCTAGGAGGAGATAGATCAAATATGAAGGCTGTAAACGGCAAAAATGGGGTCAAAAACCGAACTTGAATCCAAAATGGCTGACTTCCTGTGGGGTTTAGTCCATGGCTCCAAGAGACTTTTTTGTACGTCCTGACAAGGTACACACGTGTACAAAGTTTCGTATTTGTAGGTTAAAGCATGGCTTGGGGCTGATCATTTAAAGTTTTCTAGGGGGCGCTATAGAGAAATTAGGCTACGCCCACCAAATATTGTGATGGATTCCTGTTGGGGAGTGGATGAGGGTCCATCCTTATGAGTTTGGAGCAGCTGGGCCCGAAAATGTGGAATTGAGAGCCAAACGTATGGCGATGGCGTTACAGGTGACTTCGCCACGCCACCACGCCCACCTGCTCCATCGAAGCTGGTCGGGGTTGGAATCCTCAATACACCAACATGTTCTCTGTGTGGGCACAGTTTCATGTTGATGAGGTCAAAGGGGTCAGATAGCGACAGTTCACAGTAAAACATTACACTTCCTGTTCTCAGGGGGCGTGGCCTAAGTGAGGTCATCATTCGACCATAGGGTATTGCAGAAGACCCGATGATGATCAATCACAGAAACTTTGATGCTTCTGTGAGTTTCTGTGTAAGAGATATAGCAGTTTATTTTTTTTATGGCGAGTAGGTGAACTTTGACCCTGCTAACCCCCCTTCAGCATACTCAAAAACTCACCGTTTAGATAACTTTAGATGGGACATGCCTTATGAACAGACTGACCGAGTTTGAAGTCGATCAATCAAAATCCCTAGGAGGAGATAGATCAAATACAAAGGCTGTAAACGGCAAAAATCGGCAAAAATGGGGTCAAAATGGGAACTTCAATCAAAAATGGCTGACTTCCTGTGATACTTGCACTATGACATTAATTGTAAATTTTGAGCGTCTTGGGGAGTTCTACAAGTGTACCAAATTTCATGTGTCTATGATAAAGTAAGTGAATAGCAGAGGGTAAAAAAGGGTGTTTTTTTCCAATTTCTAGGTGGCGCCGTAGAGACATTTCTGTTGCAATTTTTGCTACGACTTTAAAATACGTAAATTTTAAACAGGCTTAAGGCCTCCGCCAAGTTTGGTGAGTTTTGAATATGATAAAGCCCCCAAAAAAGCCAATTCATTTGGGTGGAAGAATAATAATAATAATAATAATAATAAACAATAGGAAAACATAGGCCTTCGCAGCGCTTAGCTGCTCGGGCCTAATAATAATAATAATAAACAATAGGAAAACAATAGGCCTTCGCAGCGCTTAGCTGCTCGGGCCTAATAATAATAATAATAAGAACAGTACAGAAACAATAGGCCTTCGCAGCGCTTAGCTGCTCGGGCCTAATTACATTCCTAAATGAGCTGACTAATTTTGGGGGGTTTATTGGCTATAAGTCAGTCAAAATATTATAAATAAATCCTTGACACTTATCATATCTGTAAGGAATATATCCTTTTCTGACATGCACTAACATTGCGGCCATCCCAACAACAACGAAGCCCGCAGAGAGATCTCTTCCTCGTGAGCTTTTCTACCTTTTGTCAGTTCAGTCAAACTTCATAATGCATCAGGTTAGACGGCAGTCTGGCGTAAAACGACAGAAAGAGAAGTCTACTACACCTCCAGCTCCTCTGGGGGCCATGCTGGGTCAGCTACAAGCTGGCCAGGTTGTTAAAACCTATTAATGGGATGGCGCAGTGTGTTCCAACGAACCACTGCAGTGCTGCATTATTCATCACCTCCAGAGCCGATTCAGTGAATAGCTTTCCCTCCTGCCTTGAACGGTTGCAAGCAAAAGGTTCAGGGAGTGGTGGATGAGTTCTATTTTCTTGTGATTTCGATGTCCTTTGTTGATGTTTACTCCACTCAACTCAACCGGGAGATAATCAAACAGACACATCAAACATGCTGCTTGTTACAATGCCAAAGTTCTGGAAACAGACTCTCATTAAACTTGTTGGTTCACAAACAAGGTGAAGAGAGACAACTCAGACATGCAAGTGTTTTAACGACTGACAGGAATTCTGTCGAGGAGATAGATGAAAGGTTGGGGTTATCTCAAACGACATTCATATTCAGCAAAGATAAAAAAACCAAAAAAAACACCAGTGATCCCACAGAGGCTTTGATGGACAAACTGAATGCGTGTCCTCACGCTGATCTGAAGGTTCTGCGCTCTGATGGGTAATAACTTCTCTAAAGCAGCGTGTCAAACGTGGAGTGGGTTCCAAAACACACCCTGAAGCAGAAATATGTCTGTCTATGAGAAAGAGCCTGATGTTCAGTGCTTTTTGTTGCACCTTCAAAATCATCTGGATGATTATTACAGGCCCACAACAAACAGCAATAAATCCCTGTAATTTTGCATGCGTGCATTTTCCTCAGGTTAAGGGTCAAGATGAAGTTGAATAAAAGTTTTAGTTATCCTTGGTCTTCTGCTCATCTGAAATCAAATCACTCCTAGACATCCCTCCCTCTAGCAACATTTATAAGCTCATTCTGGTGGATCCCTAAGGCTATGTTCACATAGCAGGCAAATAAGACCCAAATCTGATTTCTTTTGCCATATCCAACTATTTCACAGCTGTCCAAATGGCTCAACTCCAAACCTTTCACCCCCAGAAAACATTTATATTTTACCACTGTCAGATGTGGTACTAAATTGGATACATAGCCAAAAATGTTTAAAAAATCTGCAGTCAAAATGGCCATGTCACTGTTTTATAATTCTGCCCCAGAAGAAGCCTAAACAATGGCTGAAAAAAAAAATAAATAAATAAAAATTATTGGTCAAAAACATATGAGAAGTATTTTTGGCTGCATTCAGTTTGAAATATTTAGATTTAATATTGAACGCTCAAAACTTCACAAAAAAACAAACAAAATCGGGATTGGTACATCTCAGATGTTTGGTAGGGTTGTTAAAATTGATTCTTTCAAAGTAAAGTTTGACTTTCCAGCTTTTTCCTTTTGCATCACATTCTGACGTGGGAGCAGGCAGGTAGATTCTGAAAAAGGTTAAGTTGAGAAAGAAGACTGATTGCATGACTGGTCAAGAGACCAGCAAAAATGCTGAACAGTGAAGAGTGAGGATGAGTGTTTTAGAAGCTGCTTCAAGCAGAAACTAAGGCTCACTTGTTCAATCGTTACCAGAAACAATAAATGAATATTTGAGATAAGAAGCAATCTAAGAAACAAATGAAGCAATACCATCCCTCCATGCTGGTTGAGATTAAATTCTCAAAGAAGAGAGGCAAACTGCCCTTTTATCCCCAGGCAGTCCTAAAAAGGGTTTCAAATTGGGTTAAGGGGGAAATAGCAGTCATTTTCTGTACTCAGAATGGGGGGTTTTGCCTAGGAAGAAACGACGTGGAAGCCTGGAAAAGAAACGGAATCCATCTCTGCGATGATAGAATTTCATAGGAAAAGCTTCAATAGAGCAATTTCGCTTACAAAGAGCTACAACTTAGGAAGAAGATTGACCCTTTATTAAATCAAGCCGTCTTGCATGGATGATAATTCCCACTTACAGCACCTTCACATCTTTAAGTGGGGTGAAAAGGTATCCTTCTGACCCAATCAAAGTGTTTCTCAAGGTCCTATTACTCCTTGATGCTATGATTTTTCAGACATATTTTCATTTGTGTGAATGTTTGAAAAGTATTTAATATCTTTCATCTCAACTTGATCAAAATAACTTTTCGGGGTGCCGTTTTTGGTTGTTTTCTAGAGTAGTAAGATTTACCTGGGTCTCGAGAGTTTGGATTTTTGACTCCAGCTCCTTGATCTTTTCCTCCTTTTTTTGGGACTCAGCCTGGGCCTCCTGCCGCGCACTGAACTCCTCGTCAAACTGCAAGAGAAGAGAAACAAGAATGTCTGCGTGTAGATAAACACATGTAGAGGGAGGTGAAGGTAAGCGTAGGGTTGCCCCAGAGAGCGACCAGAGGGCGCTTCAAGAGGAACAGAAAGCATGCCACTACACACGCTGAGGCCCATTTCTATCCATAACCCTTACAGCCCCAGAGTCCTGTCACCCTTTGTCTCTTGTTTGGATCTTGGTCTTCATGTATGTTGATGGCTCTAACCTTTGCAGAAACCAAGGCATGTCGCAACAATGATTTCACCAGCCCAGCAGGGAGCAGAGTGAATCGCCACGACACGAGTCTTAAGAAAAAAACATTCAGGACCCCTGCTGTTGTCAGATTGAAGTTAAGACTGTGCTTCTTGCCTTAATACAGTGCAGTGAAAAAGTATTTGTTCGATTACAGACTTCTTTTTCGGTTTTTACCTTTAAGATCATCAAACAAAAATAATCTGAGTATATATACAAAAATAAAATAAAAAAACATTTCCCAGTGATTTTTTATTTTGTGAAGGGAAACCGTGTTCGAGTAACAAGTTGATTAGCAAGCTCAATGGATTACGAGATAACTGATTAACCAAAAATATTTGAAAAATTTAGTTCAATTTCATTGACATCTATCAGTCAAAATTAGGTTACAAAATCCTTTCTTACGCTTTGGGACTCCAGGGAGCCACAGTGACTAACTATTCAAAATCAGTAAACCAGCTTTGTAGTGATCAGCCTACCAAACTGACTCCAAGATCGAAAAGAAAGCTTGTCCAGGAGGGCACAGAAAAACCCAGAGCAGCATTTCAAGCATCATTTAACTAACAGAAATGATGTTCATATCGCAATAATTGGAAAGAAACTGGGCAAACAATGCATCAATTGAAGGTTTCACAGCAAATAAAAGAAGAAAAAAAACACCTCTGATCTAAAATAATGATTTACCAAAATACATTTTTATTATCCCCATAATGGACAGCTAAATATTTTGTGAACCGAGGAGAAAAGAGTTGAACCTTTTGACCTTTGCATGCAATGTAAGACTAACAACATTTAAACATGAGATCCCCAAGCAGGGAAGGGAGTGCTTTTGGACCGGCCTTAATAGATGGAAACATTCATTCTGATCAGGGAGAATGTTAGCCATTAGTTTGTGCCCTTAAGCGAAAGTCCACTTAGGAGATGCAGCAAAAAAAATGATAATTACACAAGCAACAGGAAATGACCGTTTCAGAATGGCCTAGTCAAAGGACAACTAAAATTCAATGTCATTTGTGTTCAGCTGACATGCAGACATCTTTAGGGGCTAATTATGTTGCCTGATATTTCAGTTTGCAGTGTGACAAAAGAAAAAACAAGAAATCTGAGGTTTTAAAACACTATTTCACAGAACTTCCAGTAACTGAATCTGTTTAAACCTTTAAGTGAAGTCCAGCCTTAAATACGTAATTACATCAAGGCTTTTCCACATAACTTAACTCTCCCCAACCTTGTGCACAAATAAGTATACATCAGAACATCACCATCGATTCTTGTAATGCTGATACGGATCATGTAGCGTCACAGCCAGGTATTGATTGGGGCATGCTAAATCAATAGCTTGTCTGGGAGCTCTGGGGAAGAAAAAACTTTGCTGATGGGAGCTGGCCAAGCAAAAGGAAGAGGGGGTGGGGGTTATTTGAGTGATTAATGTCTCACCTTTTTGGAGTACTCTACAGCCTTCTGTTCACTCTCTTCAACTTTGGCTTTATCCACACACTGATCTGCAAGACAAGAAGGGCGTGAGATACTTCAAAGGCATCTTAGGGTGCAGCATGCATCTTTAACTCATTGTAAGGCTTCGAAGTTATCTGGTGTCTTCTTTTAAAAGTTTATCCAATTCCAATTTAGGTCATTCATCTGGGATGTGAGAGTTTCTTTTTTCATTTAGGGAGCCAAAATGTATTCCAGGAAAGCGAGCACTTCATTATTTCCAACAGGAATAATTTCAAACAGCAATTGAAGGTTCCCAAGAATACACGGAATGTAGCAACTTGCTTATCAGATTTCTATGAAAGAAAATTAAGAGTTAGCATTATCTGTATGCTGCAACCTTATGTGGAATAGAAACACGATCAAGTTGTTGGACAGTTTAAAGTAGCAAATCAAAAATTAATGAGAACTGTAAGTGTACAATAGAGTTGTAAACCACTTATCTGTTAATGTAGATTATATGCTTCACTCTACAAGACTCCAAAAAATATCTGAAACTGCAGAGGTAAACTGTGACTTTTTTATCTTTTATAGATTTTCTTTAATAAGATTTATTGTTTATTGTTATGTACAAAATGCTTGGAAATCTACATGTATGGATTCTCATATATAAATCTCAAACAAAGCTTATTTGTTTGAAAACTTTTTTTAAACAAAAAAGAAGTCTGCAAAATATGGCGTGTGTTTTTATTCAACCACTTGTACTCTGACACCCATAAATAAAATCCAGGGCAACCTATTACTTCGAAAAACCAACAAAGCAGTAAATGGAGCCTTCCAGAGTGATTTAATGCAAGTCTAAGTTCAGTTCTTCTTTGAAGGTTTTAAAGGTTTGTCAGATAACATTGGTGAGCAAACTGACAGAAAGAAGAGCAGGGAACACACCAGACAGCGAAAGTGGGCAAACATGCTCACACCATAACCAACAGGGTTGGCATGAACATAGATGAAGCTAAATATAAGGTAGAAAAAAAACTATATTTAGTCTGGATAAGACCTTTCACCTTGCAGCAGCCAGAATCACAATGGAGTAGCTTAGATCAAAGTCTATGAGTGTAAGAATGGCTCAGTGAAGCTCCGGGCCTAAATCTAAAGTAAGAGATGAAACCTGATGTTCAAAGATGCTATCCATACAATCACCTTGAACTGTAAGAATTTTGTAAAGAACAAACAGACCTGTCTATCTCTACATGTGCAAAAGCTGATAGACACCCCAACAGACCTGCAGCTGTAATTGCAGAAAAACGGGTTTCAATTTGACTCAATCTGAATGCTGAAGTTGGACTTAAAAAACGGAGAAAAATGCATTTCAATTCCCACATGTGTGTTTCAGTGCGCTTCAGCAAAGTGGGACAGAAAGCTTCAACCAGCAGACGGCTGAATACAAATGAATGTCACAATTTTCAGATTTCTATTTAAATAAATAAAAATCCACACTTCCTTCTCATTTCAATTCACTGTTATATATGACTTTGTATTGGTGCATTATGTAAAATACCAATGACATACAAAGATCTTTAGTATTATGATGCAGCAAATTGAGAAAATATTCAAGGGGTTTGAATACTTTTTGTGATGAAGCAATAGATGAAGCTTGTTTGGTGGAGAAATGAGAGGAAGTGTACATGAGTCATGACCTACAAAAACGGTTTGGCTCTGGAAAAATGCATTTCAAAGAAAATGCCTCAAGTTTTAATGTGAGTGGATCAAGGCATTTTGTCCGTAGCCTGCCATCATTACACAGCTACAGCTTAAGATGACAACGAGCTTTAAAAGAGGAAACTAAAATGCTAAAAATAAGTCTAAAAAGGGCAGAAAAGACATTTCATTCCTCCATGGGCTTTTTATTAAACTTCAGCAAAGTGTGAGAGAAAGCTTCATGCAGCATCTGTTCTCAGGGGATAAGTTTAGAAACTTTTAATGACCCTTTGTTGGCAAGTCACAGGCTAGCGACACGACTGTGAGAGACAAAGTCAATTTATTTTTATTTTTCAGCAGGAAAAAAAATTCTCCTTTGGCAATGCAGCTCAAATTAATGTTGTCTGCTTGACTCCACCAACACAAATAACTGAATTAAAGCAAATGCTTCTCTATTATATGATTCATTTGGCCAAATCAAGCACACTTTTCTGTAAAATTTGTTTTCGTTTTATACATGCTAGATAGACTGCAAATTGTGGACGTTTTCCACCAGCCTATGAGTTTAGCTAGTAAACCTATTGATTTTTGAAAAGAATATACAGTTATGATAAACACAATAACTAGTCCAACAACACCAACCAGAAACATTGCAGTTTGTGGTTGAATTATGTTTTCATGTGCAGTTACATGTAGCATAGTAATACAAATCAACAGCAGTAATTTGGGCATGCCCAGCATAATTTTTGGACCTTGGCCCAATAAAAACATGAATCTCTGCAGTGCTGCTTCTGAGGCCAAATCAAGGAATACAGAGAGATTTGTGGAATGTATTTTGATCATCCTGGGATGAGATGCCCATTTGTAGGAGCCAGAGGTCAGTTGACTCTATGCAACACAGATATGAAGCAGCTCTCAGATTATACAGGTAATTATCAGTTCAGTGAGTCACATGAAAGCTGGATCTTCAAACAATTGTCAGTTTAAACTGTAAATGTTTGAGTTTATGAAGAAAAACAAATGAAGTGCTACTAGTTGTAGGGGCTAGTTTTCCTTTTTTTCCTCTTTTCTGTAGGTTGATTTTAAATTGGTTACACTTTTCTAAACGTTTTAATTGAACATACAAAATGAATACTTTTGTATTTGCATGTGTAAAAATAACTATTTTAAGGAATACTATAGTTAAACCCTACTTTAATAATAGTATCTTGTCAAAAATTAAGAATACAACACAAGTATCAAAAAATATTAGCATTAGCAGAAATATTAGCATTTTCCAACAAACAGACAACACAGACATTTGAAGTATGAAGTAGTTGAAAAAGTTACCAATAAGCTGAGTGAAGTCCACATCCAATCGTTTACTGTAACCAAAGTCAGGGTCCGTCCCACTGCGATGCAGAACCACCTGAGACACACATTCCTCGATCACCTTGTAGTACTGAGGTCTGAGAGAGGTCACGAGACAAAGCAGAACAATTAGACATGAAAGATATGAGTGACACAAAGCCCATGAGGCTAATTAACCACAAATGATTCCCTTATCCAAGTAGAGGTCACAAAATGCCATGTCGAAAAGGCTGCTGCTGGAGAAAATAGGTACACCATTAAATTTGATCACTTGCTTCACCCTTATCGTAAATTTAGCAGATTAATGGCTACACAGAAACCAACCACACGATCATCTGTCCATTTCAAGGTGACTGACGGCCGCCAATGCTACGCCTGCCCCCTTGCATAATTTGCAATCTTCTTTGCCAATTAGGGTGACCGTAAAAACTGAAATGTAAATCTAATCAGTGTAATGTGTGTAATTAAAGGCACAATGGGCAGGAAAACATGCCAGGCAGTTGGGAGTGTGACTGGGAGCGTGGCGTCTTCAAACACGGACTGTGAATCAGCCTGAAAGTCCGTCGCCACCACGCAGGTTGCTGTGTGACCTTTTCTGTGTAACATTATCAACTTTAATTGCAAGTGACATTTAGCAAATACAATGCCATCTTAAGCCGAGCTTCAAACTGAGAAGTAATTATTTTTTAACCCCAACACAGGCCAGCATTTGATGTTTAAATTTGTTTAGTTTTTTTTTGTTTTCTTTTTTATTCTTCCACTAGCTTAACAGCGTCTACTTTGCAAGTTAAATTTTCATCTTGGGTTGCAGATGTTTGACAAACTGTCAGCCAAGGCAACCAGACAACAACCTAATATGCTAAAACTAAACTTCACTTTTCAAGCGCATGGAAGGGTTCTGAGACATCAAACTGATGTCTCCTGCTGGGCCTCCTCAAAACATCAAAACACAAAAAAAACACACACTTGAACACATAAAAGTAAAAGCTTTCAACAGCAAATTTATAGAATCACCACATACAAACAAACCAAAACAAAAATGGTATTTAGTCAACTTTTTAGAGTCAAAATTGGTTACAAAACAAAGTTTGTTTATTGTTTTAATGTGTTTCAATATATGAAACCTTTAAAATAAATACATATTTTGTTGTAGTGGTGTGACCGCACACTTGGAGAAAAAATGTTGAAAACTTTGAAAAATTGACTAAATCATCACTGTAATATCTACAGACACATATGAATATGCAATTATATAATGTAATATATAAGTATAATGTGAAGCTGGCCAACATGGATAACAAAAATGCAGGACAAGTCTGACACATGACTGCTTGTTTCCCAGTGGTGTAAGAATGAACTGACAAGGAGGCATTATCCTCTCAATCACTTCACAAAAATGGTAAGACAAGAAAACATGCTGATTAAGTCATGCAGATAAATGCAAACTTTACGTACCGAATGAAAGTAGAGAAATGCAATATGATAACATTCATGTATATAAATGAAGTAGAAAAGGGAAAAAAAGCTCCCTTAAGGGAGAAAAAGAAATATAAAGGGACAAGATAGTAAAAAATGTGAGTGAAAATTAGTGAAAGAGTGAATTGGGCCTTTCTGTACACAATTAAATATCAATTTTAACGTCAACGGTAAAACAAAATTGTCCTTACATTCAACAACCAGAGTGAGCATCAACTTCTGACAGAATCTACATATAAAACATCCTCACCATGCTTCATATCTTTTCAGAGGCTAACAGATGATTTGGTGAGTGATATTAAGCTACTTAAGTAATTTGTGAATGTTTGGGCGGACAGATCTGAAGTGAATCATTGACGCATAATTACTAAAAGAGAAATCCATTAGCATCTGGGAAACAGTGATCTGATTAAATAATCAAAGGAAATTATTCAGTTTGTTTTTGGTAACAGCACAGAAATAAATTCAAAGTACAGTCGTCGATTAAGTCCCTCTGATCACCATTAAATTCCTAATGAAAAAAACAACTACACTTTAATGTGTTTTGTTATTTTACACCAGTGGATGACGGTAAAAGATCCACCGTGGTACATAACTATGCTGGAGTTTAATATTTTTAGCTTCCTCTAGATTGTCCAATTGATTTATAACCGCAGACGTCTAAAAGCCTGAGGTTTTAAGACGACTTAGATTAGATAAGGACTTCAGTCTGATCAAAGGTTTGGCTGTCTGTTGGTTCTGCGTGAAAAACATTGAGCGAGAAGGAGGGGAAGCATTACTGCTGCTAAAATGTGATAATTGATTACAGCAGGCAGAACTGTGAACAAAGTGTCTGCTGCCAGGTGAGTTAATTTTGTCCAAAAAGACTAAAAACTGAACATAAACAAAGTATGTCAGTGAGAAAATAAAAAGGAACATGAGAGCACTTTGTTGCCATCAAACATTAAATGAAACAGAGTTAATATCTGCCCTTTTAAGTTTAACAGCTAATTTCAAAGTCTATTTTTCCACTGCGATAACTTGTGGGCAGGGCACACAAATGTTGTTTTATAAAAAAAAATAAAATAAATATTCAGCCAAAGCAAATAAGAATAAACCAGCATTTAGGTGTGTTGTTTTGAAAGCATGAAATGCCACACATTAATCTTGAGCTGGTGGATTCACCCACTCATGACTGGCACAAGCTGGTGAAAGCTCGCACGTCGCCCCGCATGGCTTAAGCACCGTGGGGACTCGGCTTACAACTGTCATGAATGCACACCACATTATTATCTCAATAAGCCACACTATTTTCCCCTTCGTCCTCCATCCTCCACCGCCGCCACCGAGCAGATAGAGACCGGGTGGAGATAACTAGAGATGGAGAGAGTGACCCAGAACTGTCAGGGCCCTTCCACAGTGGGCAGGCCTGGGCTCCCGAAGCGAGCACATGTCCCCAGTATCATCCTCAACTTCTTCTTTTTCTTTGGCACCTTCATTTCTTTTAGTGATAACTTGTGGTTCAGCCACTTGATCCAGCCCTGCTCCACATAACCAGTGTAATCCCCCTCTCACCAGGCTCCAAAAGAGCAGTTCTGCTCTGTTATTGCTGGGTGGGTTTGATCTGTTCCAATTCATTACACTTGCAAGGAAAGATTAATTATCAAAAATAAACCCAGCCCTGGAGGGGGAAAAAGAAAACATACAACTTTTGTTTTGTTTGGAGACTTTGTAGTAGACAGAGCGGGTTCACTCATAATTAGAAGACTGCAATGTTTAAAAAACAAATGCTTAATTATATAATATTTTAAAATAATAAGTGGTAGCAAATGGAAAATTGAGTGAGATAAAGAAAAAGAAAAGGGGAAATACACTTCCTTGTAAATGTTCTGGACTTTGCCACGTCAAATCCACAAACATCTGTTCATTTCATTTGGATTTTATGCAACAGATCAACACAAATATGTAAATAATGGGGGAAGGGAAGATATACAAAAAGATATAAAGTTTTCAAAACATGTTAAAAATAAAAATCTGAGACGCGTGCTGAGAAATGTAAGGGTATAATACTAAATAAAATATAAAGCAACAAACTGCCTTCAGAAGACACAGCCAACACCTGCTGTGTTTAATTTAATCCCAGTATAAATGCAGCTGTTCTGCAAACGCCTAAGAGGTTTGTTAGAGAAAATTACAAAACAAAACTCATCAGGAAAATTAAATCGAAAATCATATTTGTGGAAATGACAAAACCTACCATTATAACTACAAAAGGCTGCAAAGTGATAGTTTAGATCGAAGGATGTTTATGTGAAAAATTGCTCAGTCAAAATCCAACTGGGCTGAAAATTTCCATCTCCAGAAATGCAGAGCTAGTAGATGCACTCAAAAAGCTGTAATTGTATAGGTTGTTAGTTGAGAATTAAGTCACTAACATATATTATGTATATTCACAATTATCTAAAGTTTTAGGATATAACATCTCAAGAATCCATTGAGTTTTGTAGCTGCAACATGACTACACATAAATAATTTTGATGGGTGGGACTACTTTGAAAAAGCCCAACACAGTGGACAAAAATAATATACACAAGCTCATGTTTTTTGTAAATTGGTCTGGATTCAGAGTTCTTCCTCATATTCACCTCATCCAACCTTAAATCAAAATACAACATTTATTTAAAAAGCTGTTTAGACTGCATTAGTTCTCCATCTTCCATAATCTGCAGCTGTGATGTATAGGGAATTAAATGTCTCACTCGATGCATTTCTACTTGTAATGTAGTTCATTCTTGCATTAGTTTGGATGGTTGAAGGGAAAAGAAACTCATAACATATCTTTTGAAAGAACTTTACGGGATTTTTCATGAGCGGTTCAACTGATCCCTTCATGCTTCTGCCTCAAGGAGCTGAACATGGACAACGAAGCAGAGGTAGACATGGATGGTTAATGTGAATTCTATTTCTCACTTCCTCCGAATAGATGAGGAATGCATTATTCATGACTCCAAGGGGACAGCAACTTGTCTTTAGTAAATTCATCCACCTCCTCTCATCCTCAAGTTATCTTCCAACTTTCTTTTTTTTAAGTTGCAGTTCTGCAAAAAGTTCTGACGCAGCAAGAAATTAATCAGAGCCTCTCTATTAAAATAAGTCACACTCTCATTTTACAGTCACTGACTAATCTGCTTTTTCAAACATCAGGCAGCTTACATTTTAGAGTGGCTTAATTCTCAACAAAACAAAACGATGTCCTGACTGAAACGGCTCCCCTGATGACGATCATTCAGACAGTGCAAAGAAATAAGAACTACCAACTATTAAACGACTGCTTTCTCCTGTGCAACACAGCCAACACTCATCCAATTAAGGTTGTTGGTTGGAGTTCTTCAAACTTGCAGAATTTAACATACGGATATCAGTGATGTAGCACTTCTATCCCAGATAATGAGTCAAGCTACAGTAGGCAGAAGTCTGGAGGACGTGATCCAAAAAAAAAAATACAAAATCTAAACAATATTTTGGTTTGTAACTTTCAGGCCATCATTTGGTAAAGTTATTGAAAAATTGTACAGGAGAAGAGAAATCATCTGAGGGTTTTTTCAGAGGCCAACACAGACTCTTTGTCAGGCCGACTGCTACTGGAGACCTTTCTGATCACAGCATCACTTTTCACACTGACTGAAAAAACTTGGATGGTATGAACATTTAATTTATTTTGGGAGAAATAAAGCAATTTGAATTTGAAAAAAACAAAAAAGCTATTGAAAAGTGAATGAATAATTTGGTTGAAATAATGCTGCATTCTGTAAACAAGCAATTAACTTTATAGTTCAGAATAAGATTTACTAAAGACGTTCTGTTTCTTCTATAAGATATAGAATTACCAGATAAACATTTTCTCACAGAGATTATCTTGATTGTTGAGTTGTGTATGTACAACAAATAAGGTGTTCCTTTTTAAAGTTTTCAGATTTCAACTAGAGGTTTCTCACCCACATTGGTCTCATATTCTAATGTCAATTTAAAAAAATAATAAAAAAAATATGTTTATTTGATCTTTTATAGATCTTTATTTGATCTTATGTGACGTGCAGCCTGTTTTAGTGAACATTTTGCTGCAGCGTCTGAAACGTAAAATACAGAGAACAGCAGTGATATCAGACTGCACGCTAATATTAGTAAGCAGTGCCACTGTCCTGCAACCTTGAGACACATCTCTGCCCCACCACACCTGAATCTAATCAATGGGTAATGACAAGGCATTTACAAATATTGCTGACATGCCAAAGAGGTAATTCAGCCATTTGATTCAGGTGTATAGGAGCAGAAAGACATCAAAAAGTTGCTACTGATTACCCTGATCACTGAGCCTGTTGTGATTAACAATGCAGCTAATAGCTCAAATTTTCCTTTACAATTTTAAATGTCTCTTTTTTAAAAGGCAGATGCAAGTCCGGAGAGGAGATTTTTATGGCTGTCCAGGCATCCGTTAAAGAAAAGTGCCTGGGTGAACGTAAAATGAGAATGATGGGTTTGTGGGTATTGTATCTGCAGTTATAGAGGCAGAGTGAGAGCTAGCCTCACCAGGTCATCAGTCAATACAAGGCCAGCAGTATGTAAAAGCCAAACAGAACTTACCTGATGTAATAGTCATTCCTGATAAGCAATAGGTGCTGAAGGATTGACAGAAAGTAGGTCTCCGAGGCGGTGTCTTTCACCATATTTGACAGGAGATGGTACACTTCATTCATATCAGTGAGGGAGCAAGGTTAAGGGAAAAACAACTTTTTTCTTAAATCAGATAGCTATAAAAGCATCCATTCTGACAAACTTATTCAGCTCCTGTGAACATTTAAAGGTTATTACAGTTTGTTTTCATTAGAAGCGTTTATTTTATTTTCTTTTATGGATTGCAGCTCAGCTTCTCTGACAGGCATCATCGCACAAAAGTCAACAGAGATATAATTTCTCTTTTCCGCTGTCTCTCAGGGGAGCTGTGACAGAGTAAACTGCTAAGTTGAGAAGGGGGGACTGGCATTGAAGAAAGCTCCCACAGGTTCACCTGTCACTCCAGACCTTTCAAGACATACAAAACTAATTACATGAAAAAGTCACACAATGCTTTACTTTTCTACACCAACTAAATCTTGAGGATCTGATCTTTTGCAGGGCAGAAGCATATGTGAGGCTAAACCTTTATATCGAAACTGCCATGCACCATGAAGAAAAATGCTGGGAGATAAAATTTGCAAAAGGTATTGATTGTGCGTCTTAGCTTTGCTTTTAAAGGAGAATCCACTGATGGCTCGACATCTGAAGCAGCCTGTAAATCTAAGGGGCCTTTTAATGCTTTAAGTCTAATGAGCAATACATCCCGAATAAAAGCATTTGTTTTGATCTTTCAACTGTTCAAAGAGGACAAGATGATAAAAACGGAAATTAGATGCTCAAACAAAGCAAGTTAAAGGAAAGTATGAACACATTTTAGATAATTGCACAGGATGCGATTCACCGCTACTCATACAGCTGTATTGTATAAAGTGGAGAGAAAAATTAGCAGAAAGGCTAACTTCAAATGTTTATATTTCCCCTGATATCAACAGAAAGTTGGATCCAAGTCAGCAAGCAGATCAATTTTAATTTACAATTATTTTATAAGAGAGGTCAATTATTCAACCAGAATTATGCCAGGTCCTTGTCGATGTCAACCAATCATCTTGCTAAGTGACATTTTCTATTACTAGGGTTGGGTAGGTTTTATTATCAATGATCTTGCTTCGTTCGTCTAAATGAATCAAAGCCTCAAATTAAGACAACATTCATGCTCATGAGTGAATGTATACTTTTGAGTGACGACGATTCAAATATAAACACAAATTGTAGTTCTTCACAATCTGCATTAAAGTATTTAAACCCACAGTGTCATCAACAGCCACAGCCAACACAGACGCCGGAGAAATGTGTTCATGATCTATGGGTTGCTCCGCTTGCCAGATCCCTCACTGCGTTTGGAAAAGATCAATGCTTTTAAATGCTGTTTCACCGCTCTCCAAATCAATGTTAACAGTGTCTGTAATTAAAATGCTTTAAATATTTTTTTTTTCTTCTCTTAGAAACAGAGGGGGGAATTAAAGCTCTTCTAAAGTATCGTTTCTCTCCTCTGCAGTACCTGGGAGAATTACCAGCCCTGGGAGATTCAATTATAACCTCACCACAGCTGCATTTCAGAAGGCAGGGGGGGGAGAAGGAGCTCACCCTGGGAGAGAGCCGAGCTTCGTTCATCTATCACTAACCTTCGGACGCAACCCCGCTGTAAAACGTTGAGCTCCTCCATGCCCCCCTCATTCACGCAACTGAAGCTCTTTCTTCTCACTCTCAGTTTCTCTCGCCGTCACTTTATGCTCTCTCTCCAAATAATGAATAAACATGAGTGGCAGTCAAGTGTGATGTAGGCCAGTCAGTGGTGGGGTCAATCAATCACCATTCCACAGTTCATTAATATTTATTAGAGCCTGGAGTCATCTCCTCAGCACCTGGACCAAGAGCTGGACAGAGGAGTCTCTTCAGGTTAATATTTATGAAACCGCTGGGAGAAACAAGACACATGTGCAGAGCTCAGGTGGTAGAGGTTCTGCTGCTGCGAGTGTGTGTGTGTGTGTGCGCTCCATGCAGACAAAAGAACAAAGGGTAACCTGGGTTTTCCAATCAGGACCATACCTCACAGATCAATATCACATTGTCCTTGGAAACAAACATTAGGCCTTCTCATTTGTGAACCTGCTCAAGCACATCATTAATCTAGCTACACCTCTCTACCTCCACCCGCCCATCTCTATGCACACATTCACAACTCCTCCTCCCCTCGCAAGTGTCACACCAAACTGTCACTCACCGTGGCACTTTTATGCCCTTACAAGAGCTGTGGAAGAAAATGGAAGCAGGAACGAACATCTACATAATGTCAGAGTCTGGTTCGTCTGCTCACAATGTCAGCTATTCATACATGGCCTGGGAGAAGATTTCTGAATTATTAAAGAGCTCTTCTTGGATGCCAGGAGAAGTTTGCCACTCAGGACTAAATTTGTGCTCCTCTTATTACTTACACGCCAAAATTTCAGAGCTAAAAGGTGGAGAAACGAGTGGTGCAGCTACAGGTGCATCTCAGGGAATTAAAATATTATTGGCAGGGTCTTTACCTTTTATTTCAGGATTTTATTTCAAAAGTGAAATGTGAGGCATATATTTTTATGGTTTCACATAATGAAAAATCCCAAATGTAGCTCATCAGAAATGAGAAAAAACCAAGAAAAACATTGTGTTTTCGTTTATTTACCCAGAGTCCATTTTCAAAACAAACTAATGGAAAGTTTAGTGGAAGGAAAAATATGGTAGAAGCAGCAATAAAAATGTCAGGTTCTTGAAAAATAAAGAAAATGCTTGGTTAAGGGTTCGTTTGCATGAATTACTGAAGCTGTGAGCCTGAGGGACTGTTGAGATGATAATGGAGCCCAGGTTACTTTAATATTGACATTCAGCTTGTCGGATTTAAGTGTCTTATTTTTCACTTGTCTAATATTGAAAATGCCATGATATCACAGTCATAGCATGGTCGTTAAACTGGATATTGGTACTTTTGGCATTGTGAGCAAGTCTTTCTAGTATGCATTTTGACATACTTTTTTCCTTCCACTAAACTTTCTGTCAATATGCTTTAATACAGCATTTCTATTTTTGATCTGAGTCACAGCAATAACATAAGAGTGGTGCATTAAAAGACCCTTTAATTAATACTAATTTATTTCAATTGCTCTCAGAACCAAATTCTTACTAAATGTAAGCTAGTAATCTAGAATAAAGGCTAAAATAAAGGTTTGAAATATATCACTGTGTCTAAGGAATCCATCGTACAGTATAATTTATTACTGAAATAAATTACTTTATTAAGATGGTAGAAATATTAATGTCATACTTTTTTTATGTTTCATTAATGTCTTTCACAATTCAAAGCTCACAAAAAGACAAAGTCAAACTAAAGAGCAGAGGGAAAGGATTGAAGGAGAAGAGCAAATAAAGGAGTAAAGAGGTCATGGGTTAAGATGACTGGGTTATTTACTAAGGGTACCTGTCTGGGGATAGAGCCGGATATTGTGCTTTGACTCATCTAATCCTCCACTAATGAACAAAGCCATGAAGCGGATTTAGTCTGCAAAGCTGGACCAAAACCGACGATACGCACAGGCACATCACTAGTTCTGCAGGAATATACATCACTCCTCTGGGTGGTAACACAAAAGACCAAAGGATATTCCATCTCAGCACGGATGTCGTCCAGGCGATGGGAGAGTTCGATGGCGTCTTCATCTTTGTTCTCATTGAACACCTTCAGCTGAATGTCCAGCTCCTCTGTTTTTTTTAACTCCTGGAAATTAATGAAAGTACCAGGAGTTAAAAGTGTTTTTTATAAATAAAATACACAGTTAATGTAGCTTTTACATTACCTTCCAACTACAAATCACTTACTACAATTACTGCAATCCTCCTGTATTGTAGTGTTTTATCACAAAACTTCCAGTTAAATATACTGAAGTTTGTGGGTATAGCATGACAAAATGTGAAAAACTTTTTCAAAAGCAGTCTTGGTATAAAAAGAAAACTAAGATAGCATCAACCCTCTCACCAACAGCTCCAGACAGAACCAATTCCTGCACACCTGTACCAGCCACAAGGGGACACAGAGTTGCTCTTTACCACTTCGCTATGAATCATCAGCAATAGAGTTTATGTGGTGAGACACAGCCAAATGTAACCCAATTTCTGTAGGTATCAATCACCTTGCACCGTTGTGGGGGTGCACCATCTGTCTCCAGCAACCAGCACTAGTTTGCAGGGAGATGCACAATGGCACACAAAAGTAAAGGAGGGACAAGAAGAAGGGAGGCAAACACAGTCAGCCAAGGACTATCAGAACAAAACAAATTGCTTTCTTTTTCGGCGGACTTCACTGTTTCTTGGCCAACAGATACACACCTTCCTGAGCATAACTCATAATTAGATGAAGGAGTGTCACGCTGAATGCGGGCAATAAAAGTGGTGAATGTGGGATTCATAAACGACTGTACACAGAGGCTCTTTCATATCAGAGGGCAGAAATGGAGATAATTAAAGTAATGACCGTAAAAATCAACAGGAGCAGCTGGGATGACTTATTAACAACTGGCTCTGTGACACATTCACCCCACTTGCAACAAATGAGAGTTTGAGTGATGAGCCGGAGCTCGCTCGCCTTCGGCTCGTGTGAAGCTGGTACGGTGAGGTTGCCGATAATAACGGCGCAGTGCAGAGGTGCGAGCTCTGCACCACGCTTTCCACAAGCCCTTGCTACTATTAATCACACCAATTGTTTTGAAGCTTTTCTATACAGTCACTCCCATTTTTCTTTCCAAAAATCATTAAAGAAAAAATAATTAAATCAATTTAATTACATCTAACATTCAAAATGCACATAAATGAATAGATTTCTCCAAAAGGCAGAAGTAGGAAAAAGACTTGCTTCATTGAAGCAAAGTAATTGGTTTGATGAGGTAAAGTTTAACCGAACTGACTTAAAAGTCTTCATTGATCTCGTTTGGCAGATGAAGAATACGTTAAATATTTAGGTCACTTCATTCCTCCTCAATAAAGTTAGGACTGATCTAAATCTGACTGCAAGTTGTTCTCCATTGACTCACAGGAAGGATCTTCTTTAAGCCGCATCTGAGGAACTCGTTGCGTAGATGTATCCGGAAGTCCAGGTCATCAGGCGAAGTGACCAGGGCATTGATCAGCTGCATGCAGGCGACCTGGAGATCACAAAAATAAAAAACCAGTAACATATGAGCAAAACAGAAACTAAAATTTTGGTTTTCCTGGCTGAATTGCAGACTTTTTAGTGGTAGTTTTAACTTAAACTGTAAAAAAAAAACTAATTGCAAGGCATGCATCACAGCATTTGTGACCTTTATGTCACAAATAAAGGTCACAAATTTTAGATATTAAGAAAGTTAATACTGTTGTCTGATGTGACGATAAACAGGAAACAGGAGCAAAGAATGATTTTATGAGCATTTGATCCTAGATCAAAATTGGAATGGGTCCATTTCAGATGTCTTTCCAATTTACTGGTACATCTCTAAATATACCAAGCATAAAAAGTAAGAACATTTGGTGTTTAGTCAATTACTTGGCAGCAAATCTCCTACCGTTGGAAAGTCTGTTTGTTTCTCTTTGAATAGTAATTATTTTTAAGAATAATGCATTTGCAAGCTGAGCAGCAAAGTTAAATGTGACTTGTTAAATCCTCTCTGCCAACACCAAACGGATTAATATACTATTGACTCCAGTTTTGTGTCATTTATTATATGGGATTAATGGAGTTTGAAGAAACAAGGTATATTTGGCTATTTAACATTAATTCCTTCATAAAAAAAAACAACAACATCAAAAAACAAGACTTCAGTAGAGTGTGGGAGAACAACATAACATCACGAGACTGGCATGACCGCCTTGGCTCCAAACTGCTTTGTGAGAGGCAGCATTTGTCACAATTTAGTCAGCTGCAGTGGCTGTAATCTGCTATGGTTCTAATAGTAGAGCTGCTGGGGGTTTTTTCAGCGCTTTAGAGCTTTGCTAATATTTAAAGTGTTTAGTGCACTTAGCTTCCTGTAAACTAATTCATCCAAAAGTGCTAATCTATTTTTCTGCTTTATGAAAAAGTTGAATTTACTTCAAAATGTGTGTCAAAGTTTTGGTTAACTTCATGTAGTTAGCCATTTATACATGTTCTTATTTTGAAGTGAGTGAAAAAATTTAACCCTCTTGAGGATAATATGTTGTAACATGCTGTTCATTGATACATGGCTTAAATTGGCGCTTTGGCAATAATTTATGTTAAATACCATGTTAGTGAAGGACTTTAGTGTTAGAATAACTAATGTTTATGAGTAGTGCTTTGGTTAGCGCAGCTAACTTTTTTGTTAGTGGTGCCTACTGTTTGCTAATGGTTGTGTTCAGTGGGGTTGAAGTCAGGACTTCATGAAGGCCATTTCATGCTTTCTTCATCGGTTGTCTCCAATAAAGCTTGCTCTGTGGCGCAACACATTGACGTCTTGTGGGACGGAGTTTGATCCCTGAGAGTGGAAACATGCGACCACCACTGGTTGCAGCACTCCAACTTAATTCATCTCTCCATTGAGATTGCCTCCTATCATGACGGATCTTGTCCTTTTTTTGGGGAGTGAGATGATGCCTTATACCATCACACTAAAAACTGCCACCACTAAAAACTCTATGGCATTGGCAGAAAGGATTTTACCTGATTTTAATGAATGAAACCCACGTACAATAGTGTCTAACTATTTGCTGAGACATAAACAAAATTATTACTTTTTTTCATGCTCAGAGTGCAAAACGTGATTTATATTGCTTGATGTTGGGTGTTGTTAGTCAGTACTTGCTTCACTATTGCTCTTCAGAGCCTAAACCGCAGCACTGAGGACAAAAGTAAAGAAAGAATCAGGTAAAATGAGTAACACAGTCCAGTTCTGTGAGGCTATTGACTAGATGTGCATTATTAATGGATTTATTGGAAGAAGAAAGAGTGAAAAAAAGAGTTTGTGCGCATGGTGGGTGGGTGGATGGATGAGTAAGGGTTAGGAGGAGGAAATAGCAGATGAAATATAATGAGAAGTAAGGTGTTTTCAGGGAGCAAGCCAAAGATGAGGCACTTTTCCTTTGACAGACAATCGATAAAAGGCTGAAGGATTCCCATGGACAAAATCTGAAATGTTGGCTTCTTAAACCTTGACCCAACACTCTATGTTGTTATGTGTTATTAATAAGAGTCACAGCTGTGCTGATTCTTTGGGGCTGTCACATCCATTTCTTTGGATGTATTCTGCTTCCTCTCACTGTCAGTTTGAGCATCTCTGGGCCAAAATCTCTCTCTGTGTGAGGAACTGGACGAGGAAAACAAGAATAAGTAAGAAAGAATATAATCAGATATGGTCAAGCTTTTCATGGAAAAATGTAAGACTTCTCCAAATTGAACATTCTAAAGTTCACTGTCCTTTGTGTTAGTCTTAAAATACTGATGTTCTAACACATTATACATTTATGGAAAACATTTGTACAAAAGACAGGCTTTAAATTTGTAATTTTAATTTGTAAAAAGAAGAAAGTTAAAGCTAGGATGGACGGAGGAAGAAAATTACTGGTTGCCAAACATCTTCAAACAATAGGACAATCATTCTCATATTTGATTTTTCTATACAAAAATACTATTACATACCTTTTACATATTACTTAGAAATAGAATAATAGAGTAGAAAACCTTTTTTATTTAAATATCTAAACCTCTAGGGTGGTCTATATGTTGCTTTGGGTTTTTTTCACTTAATGCAAATTTCATCCTTTTACCATTAAATTGAATTTGCCGCATTTTTGTAGATTTTCCTAGTTAGTTTTTACTATTTCACCATAAATTTCCATCGTAGTTCTGCTTGCATTATACTTCGAACCAATCCCCAAAATCTTCCCTAAGTGTTTCAACACATCTCAAAAGTAATCAGTTAACATGTGAGGTGAAAAAAAATTATACTTATTTTAAAATATTTGCCAGCTTTAATGTGACATTCCGCTACAATTTAACCTAAAAAGCTAAACAACAGCATAAAATCTTAAAGATGCAATAAATTGTTTGTGTGACTGCACACACCCTTGAACAAACTCTTTGTTGAACCACCTTTCAGTGTTATTTGAGTTAATTTCATCACTATATTTGGATCTGGGTATATTTGTCTATTCTAACCAAGAGAAATTAACTTTGTCATAAAGATACATATAAAAATATTTATATAGGAAAGCATTTTGGTCTTTTGTTGTCTCTCTGTAAATTAACAGTTTAGTTGAAGGATGTAAATCTCATTAAGATTTTAGTTCAGTTAGGGTTTTTTGGCAACAAAGCAGCTTAAAGTGGTTTATATGATAAAAACATAACACACTGAACAAATCTAAAAACAAACACTGCATTGGAGCAGCAGGATAAAGAAAAGTAATGGAAAGCTACAATCCAGACTAAAATTAATCTATTTTACAGTTATTAATCAAAGTGAGCTCTAAACAAGGGGATGAAGGTTTAGTAAATTGTTTTCTGGATGTTTTTTTTTCCAGATTAAATGAAAATCGAATGCTGCTTCTTCATCTTTGGTTCTGGTTCTTTCTGCGTTTCTGAAGGTTCTGGTCTGAGTGCATCTCATCACTACAATCAGATTTCAAGCCGGGTCACTAGTTTTAGTGAAATAATTCACTGGCCATGGTTTTAGTTCACGGGTGTTTTCATTCACGTAGCCTAGTGTTTATTTATTTTCAACAAAATTTGGGGTATTTTCTGTTTATTTCTGCATGACGTTACGTTAAAAGTGACACAAAAATTAAAAGTTCTTGATTAGAAATTGTAATTGTAATTAAACTACTAATAGCTGGAAAATGTAAGAAATTTGAAACCGGGAATTTCCCTCATGTTCAGCTGTAGCCTTAACTACACTAAAACACATTTTAATCACATTAGCCAACTCTAGCTGTGCAGAACATCACAGCCTTTGGATTTAAAGTCTATTAATTTCCCCCAAAACCCCTGTATCAGCAAAGCATTTTAATTTACTCCACAATTAGCAGAGCTTCATTTCATTAATGGCAAAATTTAAAGGAAAAACAACAGCCTACTAATAAAAGAATATCTTGTTTCTCCTCCGCTGCCCGCCTCATCAATTTCTTTCATGACTTTTTTTTCATGACTTCTCATGCCCTGCAGCTAATCTAATTCCTTAAGTAATTCCTTGCTCTGGACTCTTAAGGACAAAAAAAAAAGCTTCTAGTGGTGTTGTTGTTGCTGTTAGTTGTTTTTCTGTTCCTAAAGAACACTGGTGAAAATGAAGAGAGGTATGCTGCTCTGTTGGCCTCTCTCACAGAGTCCTCCGAGATTCAGCTTGACAGCAACATAGACAAAAGCAAGAGGAAGTATTTGTGGGATGTGGGAAAAAAAGATGAGTAGAAACAGCCAGAGGAAGGGGAAATATGACAAAGAAAGAAAGACAAACTCAATATATTTCTTTTACTTCATCTTTTTTTATGGGTTTGCAAAGAGAAAGGAGCCATTCAGTGAAGGTGCTCAATGAGGCAGGTGTTTTCTTTTAATAAAGAAGTGGCAATGGAGCATTGAGTTGATTATAATAGCACTCTGATCACATCTTGTCATGTCCTAGGGGGAACTTGATGTGGACAAGTCGACATGAAGACAGAAGCAATGAAAGATGTGGTAATACAGCTGAGATGGAGGTATAAATGGACCAAACACACAGAGTGGCAAAACTGTCAATTTGAGTCATGTCTGCTCCCATTAGGATCTTGAAGAAATATGACACATTCTGTATACTGGGCCTGCTCTGCGTCTACCGTGTCCGCTCTGGGTCCACTGTGCAAAACATCAAGTAGGAGTTTTCCTAAAATACTTTATTTAATCTCCGTTTTGGGTTCCCAATCAATTATTTTTCACTTCATCCCATCACAGCAGAGCAGTGTGGAGGTATTTGGATCAGTGCGCTGCTTGTTGTTTTTGTGTGTGCTGTGTGCATGCCTAATTACTCACCTGGAGCTGCTGGGCATCGTGGTTCTCCAGTCCTTCCACAATTGGAGCAAATCTCTCTTTATTGTTCCTCTCTGCAGCAATTGTCATGGCAGCCAGAATCTTATCCAGGCTGGGGAAAAAGCAAGCAAACAAACACTTTTAAAACCTTTAACGACAGGACATTTCTTCACAATTTAAGGCTCAAACAAAACCCATCTCTTCTCGCGTGCTGGGCAGTGAAAGCTGATAATTTATTTTTTTCACTCATGTTAAATTTGCTGCTATTGCAGCAGCAGCCCATTTGGACTCGATCTTGCAGTTGTTAAGGTAAGCTTGAACAAAATGATATGCTTTTGCTGCAAATGTGGTCTATTCAAGTGTTTGTAATAAATGTATTTGGTAATGTGAAAGCTATTGAAAGGTCCGGGTAAATTAGTGTTAAAAAGGGCTCAAGCCAGCTCATTTTAGAGTACTTAATCATTTCAGACTAAACTGAGAACATATGCGGTGTCACAAACACACACTAAACAAGAAGTAAATTGAGAATAACTCAAATGTGTTTTGAGTTATTCTTTGAATGTTCAGAGAAAAATTATATTCATATTAGGTGAATATGAGCCAGAAAATTGACAAATTGTTTTGAGAAACATCTTCCCCTCAGTTTTCCAGAGAAGAAGTCACACTTGATGCACCAGGTTTCTACAAAAGTATTCGTACCCTTTGAACTTTGCAAATTTTATGCCGTTACAAATTTCACTGATTAGAAGCAGAGTCCGTTTTATACAACATTTAAAAACATGGGGTTTATTTGAAATCACCCTCCACCACTCCCAAAATAAAATTGAGAGCAAGTAACTTCTAAACAAATGTAACTTTCTAAGTGAATATCTGATAAGTTATTCTCCATTACTGTGTAAAGACTCCAGAGGTTTGTTCGGGGGCTACGTTAGGTTCTCAGGGACCACTGTCCTGCATGTTTTGGGTGTCTCCTTGCAGCTGATTAAAAGGAATGGGAAACAACCATCTGCAGTACGTGATGCCATGCAGAGGAGGTCATTTATTCATTTGAATCAGTAATGCTGGAATGGAGACATGTCTAAAACATGCAGGGCAGTGGGACCCACTGGGTTAGCTAATCGGATGATATTATATTTTTAAGATTGTTTTTTCTTTGATCCAAAATGTCAGACTAACCATCTTCTCTGTGTGAAATGTGCACATTGCTGTCTTCAAACAAGTTGTCCTTGTTCTTGAGATGTAAATACACCACAGATCTTGACAGGATAATTTTACTCTTGTATTTACTGTGTCTGGACGTTATTGGGTTCATAATGTACAAGAATATTATGTTTGGAAAAAAAAAACAATTAGTTTCTCGGATACTGAATTCCTATATGGAATGGCGATGTTCTTCTTTCCTCCTTCGGTGGACTGAGTTTATCCATCCATTCATTTTCTATTCATCCTTGTCGCTAGTGGGGTTTGGGAGGTGATGGTGCCCATCTCCAGCTATGTTCTGGACAGGTCGCCAGTCTGTCGCAGGGACTGAGTTTAGTTTTCTTGAAATTCTGGATGCCTCAAAATAGGTCCAGTTGGATGAACCCACAGGTTTGAAGTAATTTCTTAGTTTGTGTTTCTTATTCTCGAAATTTCAAAAGATTAATCTGACAGAAAGGTGTTTCTACAAAGATCTGTCCCAAGGTGCTAAATACAAACCTGAAAGAGTTTAAAATGTTTGCCCTTTGAAAGAAAAGAGCTTTTTGTCTTTCAGCCAAAATTGTAAAACAGAATATGTTCAAATTCCAGGTTGGAACGTGCTAAAATGTGAAAAAAGTTCAAACGGTGTGAAGACTTTTGGAATGCACATCTTTACCAACTGTTTCTGGTAAAATATACCAGACACAGTTGCTGTTGCATCTGCCACTACCTTTGTGATTAGCAAACATCATGTGCGACCAATAGGACCGTATGTGCAGAGTAAGGCTTACATGGAGATAAATGGAAGAACCCTGTGATAGACATTACAAAGTCGCTGAAAACATGACGAGCTGCATACTGAGCAGCTTTAAAGCCAGTTCAGTCGTAGCTACAAAACAGGCGAGATAGATCTGCTTAACGTGTCATGTTCTCTTTTGATGCTGTCAGCCAAAAACGGTGCCTAACATGAGTCAGATTCTCAGCACCGGTTGGCAGAGAAGTTTCGGAGAAGAAGAAAAAAAACAACACCTCAGCTCCTTCGGCTGTCACTTCCACAAGATCCGGACATTTTATAGCACAGATATCATTGTGGAAAAGCGCTTGTTGTTCCACCTATTTTTAAATTATTTGAGTGACTGGTGTGAGTGAATAAAGTATCATGAGACATAGAGAGGTATATACCACCACTACAAGATTATAAGAGCAGTGATGCATGTGTGTTTATATCACACCTATGTGGTGAGTGAACTGAACACAACTAATTTACTCATTAACCACATCAGTGCACTGATTAATGACTCGAGTGCATGTACATGCAAAAGTTGTTGCAAGTGGAACACAAGTTCACTTGAGTTGTGATCTGTAATATGTCAACATATTGCTTACTTCAGCAGATAACGTCTTTATCTTGGTTGGCCTGAGCAACGCTGATTGTGTGTTGTTGAATTGCTACAGACTGAAATTCAGAGGAACATTCATTTATGTAGCAATTTTCATTCTTGTACAATTCGTTATTAGTTTTTCCATTAAGAGACATTCTTAGCACGACTGTGATGTTTGGGGGCATTACCTGATGCTGGTTAGGAGAGGAGACTGAGAAAAAGCTCTGACACCTTAGCTTTGTAAAAAAATTTAAAAATAAGAAAAATTTCCAATGCAATGACAGTTAAATTATAATTCAAGTGAAATAGCTAGTCAATTTTAGCCATTTGTATTTAGGTTTCAAAGAACATTAAAATATCTAAAGTTGTATCTAAAAGACAAAAGTTTGAGACCGCCTCTGTAATAAACCTAACAATATTAAGTTAACACTCCAGGCTCAAATGATAGATTGTAAATTGATCTCACTGTACACAACATCAATATTGCAAAGTATATTAGTTAATTATGCAAGTACTTCTAATTCAGGCTTTCTATGCACATAATAGATTTAGTGATTCTTGCTGTTTAGAGCTGCAGAAAATGTTATTAACTGTATTGTCAAGCAGCTAAGTTGTTTCAAAGCCAAAACAACAGATGTTGCATAAGTTTAACATAAGTTTTGGATTAAGGTCATTTTATTAAATTTTAAATTAAATATAAACAGAATAGTTTGTTCACTTATGCGAATCATGATAATGTGCAGGTCCAGTTTTGTGTCATTGCTTTGGAGCCTGTTCCAGGCAGGGAATGAGACGAGGCACCTCAGAGTTGAGTCCTGAAGATGCACAAGAGATCAGTAGTTATGGCTGAAATAAAAGTTATGGCTGAAATAAAAGCGCAGTCCTTAAATGACATGGCATTTTTAAACTGAATCTGGAATTTTATATCAGAGGGAAAAAAAAAACATTGAAGAAGTGCACACTAAGCCACTTTTCAGTCATTCTGTTTAAATAAAGAAAGAAAGAATTTGGAGAAATAAAACAGGGTAGATGAGCACAGCGAAAGGTTGGGAATTAAACAGATGTACATAAGCTGGCAACGCCCAAACTAAAAATGCTGAACATTCTGTTGGAACAACATGATACACCTTGTGTTAAACTATATTTTATAAAAATATGATGGATAAAAGAGAATTGGATCATTTTGGGATTGTTAATGTAGTCCACAATGTTTAGATGATGAACTATGGTTAAAGTTTATGTTGCATCAACCAAACTTAGAACTAGATTCTTGTGCCGGGTGAACTTGTTAAGCTCCAACATCAAAGAACAGAAAAGTTCACATATAATGGGAGGAAACATAATTATATGAACAACAATACTGCAAAGAAAATTCTGTCACTTTCATAGTCACCATCAGACCTACATCTAATAAGTCAAGATTCAGCTCCATACTTTTACCCTGAACAATGTAACAAAAGAAAAATATGTAGTGATGTTAAATTTTCAGATTTATGTCTAAATAACCTTAATTTGAAGATCTCAAGACTGAGGAAACTGTAAATAAATTGCCAATAAGTTAACCACTTAACTCAAGCAAATTGTTTTATTTTAGATCAGAAACTCAGAAAACAATTGCTACATGTAACACTAAAATGCCCTTCATTGTCCTAAGCCAATGTTTAAAAGCTTTAAATATTGTAGGAGAAGTTCATGATATTTACTTTTTAAAACCACCAACTGTGAAGACAAAGTTAAACTCTCTGGAATAAAAAAAAAAAAAATAATTTATTCGCTGCAATATAAAACCTGTTTTGGAAATTGTTTACTCAGCATGAAAATGACAAGCTCCGAGTCCCATTTCAGACGGTCAGAAATTTAGGACACATTTGCTAAACTCAGCTTTTTCTCAACGGAAAATGTGGGTTTGTTTATTTCCTTGACTACATAAAGATTTGACTTTGAGCTGTTGTTATTCTAGTCCGGCCCAGTGGGAAACAACAAACGCTCACATAACTCCAATTTAAAGCCTGTCAAGCAAGTTGTGTCCACAGTAAACAGACAACGCTGCACCAAACAATGTGGGTTTTGCACTGGAGTTATCTGAAGATATATAATGATTCACAGTGGATAAACACAGCATGAATATTAACAGTGGGGTGTAATCTCTCAAACATATAAATAAACTTAGAGGAAGAGGACTGCAACAGCAGTATTTTTCATCCTTTCTGTTCAATATTAGGGGTGTAAGCACAGTGAAGACGCACCATGACTTCCTATTTGTGATCTCAGCACAGATTTAAAACGGTGTAGCTCAGCTTACACACCAGCTAACATTTACTGAAAAATGATATAGCAACACAAGCAATTAAAGGGCTATACCACTAAAATATATCCTGCTGTTTAGACAAAGTGCATCTCTTACTGTTAGACTACAATAGAAAGCACTAAACCACTCACGTGTATTGATTTGACCAGTCTGGAATCGGTTCTTTAACAAGGATATTTATTTGTAAAAGAATGCATCCTCAAGGTTTATTTGTTCTTTATGAACGAACAAAAAAAAAAAAAAAAGACTTCAAAGAATGTATTTGTTTTCACACTTAAAATAAATAGGCCTGTCTCTCATTAGCTATAAAATTGACCATTTTATACAGTAGATATTATTCAACTTTATTAGAAAAGTTATTTACGATGCGTCATCTAGGTTTTGCAGCTCAAGACCAGAACAAGATACGCTCTGGCTTGCAAATACTGATCATTCCTGTTTATCGTACATTTTGGAATAAAGATGCTTAAACAAAAGAAAAAAAATGACACCTTGCACAGCGCATGAAACCACAAGTAACCACTCATAAAAATGAACAAAATATTCTTGAGAAACGTATGTAACTATTGCTCATTACTAAATAAACTAATATGATGTTCTAGTCCAGTAGTGAAGTGTTTGAGAAGTAGGAAGTCGTGTCAGACAGAATAAAAAAATAAATTAAAAAAAAGAGTGGAGTAACTTATTATAGGTTATTAAATTCAGAAATGCTACCTTGGGCCACACACCATATGTTGTAAAAGAAAAAAATCAGAATGGCATTATTTTGAGCTGATGATGTTCACAGATAGACACTTCATTTCTTCTAGCGAAGTCTCTCCAGATCATTCAAACTTATTAAAACCTGTATCAATGTACTTTTTAATGCCTTTTTTTCCTCTAAACTGTAGATCGTACAAGTCACATTTTATTAACATCCTTTTATTAATGGAACTCTGCAGACTTACAAATAAAACCAATGCTTCTGACCTTTAAAACTGTGACAATCTCATTATCTGACAAGACTCTCTGTGGAGAAGAGTGGCTGGCTTCTGCCAGATCACTGTAAGAACTGATCAGATTCAACACAATCGACTTACATGTTTTCTTCGCCAATAATACAGATAGCTGAGAGAATTTTGACAATCTCCGTCATCAAGACGATCTGTTTGGGGTCGATTGCTCTTGCCAACAGCAACAAGCTCCGCTCGTCTCCCAGGATCCTTTGCAGTCCATACTGTAAAACACAGAAGAGATGAGCCAAGATAGAGAGCAGATCCATTGAGTATAAGTTAATGAGAGCATTTACATTCATGGAGAACTTTCACTTTGAGTAAAATATAAATTATACAAAAAAGCTGTAATGTATGAAGTCATAGTTAGACGTAATCTTCTTTTAAAGAGGTACACTTTAAGGCTGTGGGAGAAAACGGCAAGAATGATAAATTGATTTAATTCAGGACAAGACTGCAGGGACGAATACTTATAGTCTCCTGCGCCTTTCTGTCTCAGCACAATTGGAGGACTGGGTTCAGATGACCATGTGTGGGGGATTAACTCCACAAGAGGCAATATCAATAGTGCATCTAACCTTGAAATGTGGGCCACTTCAAGAAATGAGGAAGACTTTCCCAAAAAGGGGATAATTAAAAGTTCAGAAACTTTAAATGGTGAAATTAGCTCCACTTTACTGCTTCATTATCTCCAGCCGGTGAACAACAAGATGCAAACAAGGTTGGAAACCTTACCACCTGTGCTAATGTTACACATTTACCAAAGTTTCACAAACATTTCTCTCGATTCAGCTTTTCAGAGCTCTATGTCTGTTGCATTTTCCTCAAAATATGAAATGATAAAGTCCATTGCAAACTAACAGTATATATTTTTACAATGGGTGGACTTAAAATATGTAGTCAAATAAACAGGAAAGACAGAAAGACAAACTGAAAGAAAAACAGAAGGAAAAAGACAAGAAGAGACGGATGAAAGGATACAGTGAAGAAATGAAGGAAGGAAGAAATTCAAAGGAACCAGACAAAAAAAGAGAAGAAAGGAAGAACAGAACGAAAAAAATCAAACGAAAGAAGGAAGCTATTTAATAATGGGTATAGAGTCAGGGAATACAAGTAATGAAAAAATTTCAATCTAAAGAATAAGTAAAGGGTATCTAATATTAAGTCATACAAACCTTGTTGTTCATGAAAGCCTTTAAGCACTGGATTAGCTTAAGCTGAATGCGTTTATCAATATTCTCTTGCCTACAAGAAAACAAAAAGTAAAAAATTAGGACGTTTTCTGAATGCGTTTCAGATTGTAGGGATACACAGGTTAATGACATGTACATGTGAACTTACGGCTTCTTGTCCAGAAGCTTCTCCAGATTTTCCAGAAGAAGGCCGAGACCTTCATGGCCAAAGTTGTTGACCCAACTAGAATAAAAAAAAGAGAAACATATCAAATCAAACCAGTATTCAATCTTAATAGGTTCCCTCTTTAAGTTTACTTTACAGAGGTGGTTCCTTGGGTAAGATGCAGGTAGAACATCACAGCAATTTTCTAAAACCCATTTTAACCTTAAGAGGAAATTAAAAATAATAGAGGTCTACATTTCAAGACTACATTTGACGATGTATTTTGGATTATTATAACACTGAATTGTTGAAATCGTAAACAAGAGCTACACCATAATATTTTTTTCTATATAAAATAATCTATTTGCTTTATAAAATGTGGAATTATGAAAACAGAAATACAGAACAAAAAAGAAAAATCAAGCATTGTTCATCAAGACTGAGATCTCAGAAGCAATAAGTTGTATGTTGGAAGAAAACTTCATAAAAATATTCCTACCCAAGGCATTTCATATCATCTAGAAATCAGATTTAGACCTTTGAAAATCAAGTTAGGGAACCCTTGGACTACACTCTGCATTTTCCCAGCTTTAACCTGGAACAATAACATGTATAGTCAACCATGCCCTCTGCTTGACACTGAAAATATTCTGCATTAGTCTGACTTTAAACTGCAACCATTTACACACAAATGAGCATCCATCCATCCTAACCAAAGTTCTCAGCGCTAAGCAGTTTGCACCGAGGCCTGACGTGAGCAACTATTATACTGTGCCAAAAGATTAAGCAATGCAAGTAAGATAACACTGTAATCGATAATGGATCGAGAGAGATAATTGCCTATGAACCGCAGCGTATCAGGAGACGGCAAATGATCCAGTGCATATGAGCCTGTTTGCCTAAGCCGGGAGCAGAGTCGAGAGGCAGCGTTGAGGAACCGAGTGGTCGCAGCCAGATTATGCCATTAGCTTCACTTGTTTTCGGGCCCTTAACTGTCAGTGACGCAAAATGCATGAAGCAATTTTCCAGCATTAACGGGGCATAAGTCAATGATTTATCCCGCCTTTTTGACAATGATTTGAAATAATAATGGTTTGAGTATTAAAGCCGTTTGTATTGACTCAGTGAGTCGTAAGAGGCCCTCAATTAGAGATGAGATGCATTTGCCTGAGGAAGCAAACAAATTCGAGGTGAGGTATTTCTTTAATCTGCGGCTAAATAAGAACCAACCAGACTCCTTGTGCCACATTTCTCAGATTTATCTCATAAACAAGCAGAGTCAATTTATAAGTTGCTGATATTGAATTGTAATGAGCAATGATGTGCGTTCTTAAACTTAAAACAGTACAACATTCAGAAATTCCCTTATAAAAAGTATTTGAACAAGAGTTTTCTCATCCGATTGTTTCATTCAAGCGTGTGCTGTGCAAAATCTAACAGTTTTCAGGAGAAATACTGACATATATTGCAGCTGGATATGTTTGGGATACAAAAGTAGGACACCATATTGAGAGCCTTTGAAACTCAGCGACAAATTCAACTGGACTGCAGCAAAAATATGGTAGTCACTATGTTGTTTTTAGGTGAAAAACAGAAAGATCAGGGATTGTCTACTCAATTTTTCCCCTCCACCATAAGTCTTACTACAAGTTGCAACATAATATAGTTCCCCTCAAGGTTCTTAATGCACTAAATGTTTTGGGCCCGCTCTCCGTCCCAGACAGCCCATCATTCTCTGTCCCCTCCTGCATGACTTCAGGTCATTTGCAGCCTGCCTTCTACATGCCCCAAAAGTTTACAAAGAAGAAAAAGCTATAAAAATACTAGATGGTGCACATTCAGAGCTTGTCCTGGAGCTATGAAAAGAAAGAAGAAGAAAAAATAAAAATAAAAACATACTTCATTAAAGAAACTGGCCAAATCCACAATAAATCGCTACAAACACCAATAACTAGAATCTATATTTACAAAAAAGATTCTGTTTACTGTCATATTAGAAGCTTCAGATTACCTTTGCTCAATTTTTATTGTCGAGAGCATTGAAGTAATGAATATTACTGCGTGACCCATAATCACTGAAAGAGATCAAATCCTTTCAAACCCAGATGTAATGTGACGTTGTACTCAATGATTACATTAACTTTGAGGAGGACACATTCATATAATATTTATGGCTGTAATCCTCTGGTTAAGAACCACTAAAATGCATTACTTTCAATCATGTATAATCTCCAGGGAACATGAAAAAATATGTTTAAGAGAAGCAATTTTCTTTCAATTTTATTTTAGTTCATTTTTGCTCACTTAACATGATTACATTGTTATCTTTACTGGGATATGTTCAGACAATACATGCTTACATTAAATGTCCATTACATTACAGATTTCTCAGAACATTTTCTGTTAATTTCCAATACTGCAAAGCAGAGATGTGCTGCTATTCTATTGGAACTTATTTGTTCGCCTTGAGTGCTATCCATTATTCAGTCTGGACATTGCAAAGTCCATCATTGATATGACCTGCAAAGTGAGAACAAGTCGAAAATGTGCAAAGAAAATAGTACATGGCTCAACGGGGACCAAATCACTCTGTCCCACCTCATGTTTGACTGATCACTTCTGTTGTGTTTAGAAAGCTCGTCCCAGGATTGATTCCAGTATATAAACCACTTTTATCATTTTATGAGGGCTCAGCGAGCAGCTTTGTTCCTGAAAGCTTCGGAGGACGCACAATGTGTTTCATATTGCATTACAGAGCAGGCTATATAACTGTCCCTCTGTGGGTTTCAGGACCGGTTTGGCGCTACAAAATGTCTGAGCTATGCAACAAATGGATCTCCAATAAACAGCTTGAAACAAAGCTACACTGGTGTTAGCTTAGTGATTCTGTCAAACTTCAGTTGGGGATACATTACATTTTGCATTTTTGTCAGAAAGTGTGGACTGTGACGGGAAGCAAGAAGGTGAAGAACTAAAGTAAACTTTCTTTAATTAACAAAAACAAATCACAGCAGGGCAGGCGATAAATATTCCGCCAACACTGCAAACCTAAATAAAAAGGGGCAAGCAGAGCAGATGCAGGATCATACTGACAAGGTAGGATTGCAAAGCAAATTGGGTTTCAGGCAGCACAATCACTAAGGGGGAGATAATGAATAACAGAAATCAGGTGAGGAGCAATAAACAAAGGCCAGATGTGTGACAAGAGCAAGTTTACAACAAAACAGGCTTTCTAAATAAAACTCAAAGGACCAGAAGAAAGAAACCAGAATCTGTGTCCAAAGAGACTGAAGAGAAAACCAAAATAAATCAACACAGAAAACAATAAGACAAGGGATAACGAAACTCCAAAATCATGGTTAGTATGCTTTATTATTGTCATTGAACAACTGATTGTTTAAAACGGCGCTGATTAATAATATAACTCCTACTTGTTATCTTGTAGAAAAGCTTCAAACAGAAAGGTGTGTACCTTTATATTATGATCCAGAGGCTGAAATGAGATTGTTGGGGATAAAAAGCAGTAAAAGAGGTGATAAATGCAACGTTTACATACAGAACATAAACTGTTAGCATAGAAAGAGTTTTCTAAGTTGCTATGAAAAACTCATAAGGCTGATGCTAAAGACTTTGGCTGGAAGTTGAAACACTTAAAAAAAAAAAATAAAAATAAAAATAAATAAATAAACCTTTCTACAGACAACACTGCTAATTCTTATTTGATGCCCCAATAAGACAAAATATTAAATTTAGGGATCACATGTAAATTGCTAAATTGGCAAATACTTTAGACTCTCTCTAAAAACACTCATAAATAAATATGTTGATACTTCACACACCACATATTCCTTAATATGCATTAATACACACATAAAACCCAAAATCTACTGTCTTTCGTGTTTCAACACTTGGGGGTTCAGCTAATTAACACCAATGAAAGTAAAAGCATAATAAATAGCTCCAGAAGTGGATACTTTGCAAATGCCAGACAGCAGTCTGTCAAGCCCCATTGTGCCAAGATATTTTAGCTTCTCAGGGTAAATTTTCTTTAGCAGATGTTGGATTACACATAAAATCACCACATATATAGCAGAGCTATTTAGAAAACTGTTGATTAAAGCAAACAAAGTGAGATGAACTCCCAGGAAACTACCAAGACGTATTATGTATCCAACATTTTAAAACGGATATAAATTAGTGATTACTGGATAAAATTCAGACAAATACAAACTCTCCACTCATAGCTTCACATTACTTGGCTCTAATAATATCCGGCCTCTGCTGGCTGGCACTCTTGTTTTACATAATGTATCCTCCGAAACGTTTTCTTCATAAAGTAGTCAAACACCGAGTTTGATGCCTCTACCTATGCAGCCTCAGGACTCTAGCTGGTCTCAGCACTCCCCAATCGTGATGTCGAGTGTAGCCAAGCAAGCAGCAGAACAGCAGCGGTACTCACAAAGAGCTCTCTGAGGTGAAAATCTGCAACATGAATTAATGTGCTGCTGAATATCCACGTGTGTACGTTTCAGGCTGTGCATGAAGCCTCTATGAGACAGTGGAAAGAGCAGAATCAAAAGTTAGGTGTGCAGTCAGCTGACAGCTCACCGTGATCCCTGGATGCTTTGAAATGTCTCCCCACAGAGTAGAAAACACCAGAAATTTTTATTCCTCCTCCATTGAATGCCAAGGATTCAGTCCTGCACAACAATCTGCTCTTCTTACAACCAGCTGAATTTCAAAGGATCAAGTAAAACTAGATGACCAGAGTCTGTCTTTTAATATTTTAAAACGTTATCAAAAACTTTGAGCTGTTTCTGACTGGAAAACTTGGTTATTTCAGGACCTGGCAAAGATAAGTTTAAGTGTTTCAATGAGGAAAACACAATGCTGAGCGTATCTCAACATCAATGTCGCTATTTTGTTGCAGGAAAATGTTATATTGAATGAACTTCAGAAGTCTTTTACCAGATGTGCAACAGTATTTTTGCAAAATATACAAAAATATGTCTATTCTTTGTCTTTGAAAAGGCTTTTCTTCATAAAATAACAGCAGAACTGAGAGTGGCCATATTTTA